TGCGACTGGCTTGTCTTGCACAGCGTCACCGTCCAGCGCTTTCTGACTGCTCAGCGCCATGTGATCTTGAGCTTCTTGATCGACAAAGACCAGCTCTCCTTTCCTAGGCGATGTCCCGGTCCCACCTTCAATCCTTGCCTGGGGACTCGATCAGGACGACCGTGGTGGATCAAATAACAAGCGGCGGTCACCGGCTCCTTCCCGTAGGCAGTGAAGTAGAGGTGTATACCATGCTCGACCAGAAGCCCTTGATAATCAATCATTGCAAGGTCGGCACCTCAAAGTGAAGCTTACCAGCAAAGAATCCAGCCAACACGGTTGTGCTGACCTCCCAGCTTAAACTGCCTGCAGTACGGCGAGTCAAGGTTTTCATCAGCCTCCTCGTGCACGTCACCATGCAGATGGCCAGCTTCGGGGATGAGATGGATGAGAACAAAGCTGAGCAGCACGCCAGCAGCCAGGCAGTTGAGGTACTTGAGAATCCACAGCTCCTCCATCTTGAGCACAGGGACGATAATCAGCACACCGGAAAGCGACATGGCTGCTCCGATAAACGCTCCCAAGATCGACAGTCCCCACACGGCGAGGAAGACAAGGACGATTGACAGGTCGTCGACCCTTCAAGGAGGACCTCATTTGAACGGCTATCCATCATGAACTTCAAAGCCCCCTCCCACTCGGACAAGGGATGGTTTGCGAAAATCCCGTACGTAGTTGCCTTCGGTACGGACAACTTGATCACAGTGTTGGAAGCATCCCGGTCAGGAACCAACACGAACAAGTCAACAGGGATCGAGGTCAGCAACGTAGATGATGTGTCTGTGGACCCCATGCCAACCACAGATCCTTGCTCATACCTCTTCAATTCAGTATCAAACTTGGCGTGGATCGCTGACTTCAGTGCATCTGATGTCACGTTCGCTTTTTTCACGTCCGCAGGATTGACGATGGCAATCTTGAGAGAAGTGTCGACGTAGTCCTACGAAGAGATATGTCAAACATGGGCATGAGGACATGAAGAGTCTAGAAGCAGCATACCTCTCCTGCTGCTGGTCGTTGCAGATTCAATGTGTAGGTTTGTTTACCTAACTCAACGTGTCCGTGCCACAGTTCGTCATGATCATGGTCATCATGATCATGATCATCATGGTCATGATCATGATCATCATGGTCATGAGCTTGGACTGATGGCAGCAAGACCAAAAATCCTAAAAGGAAGAGTTTCGCAATCGTGCGAGAAAGTAGCTTCATTCTCAATGCCTGTCACCTGCAAGCAGTTTTACTTGTATCAACTCTCACTCGAGACACGCAACACGTGACTCCTCATTAGTGCTCAGATTTCCTTCTTGTTTGTCCGCTATTTCTTTTCTGCGTTTATCTCCCATCCTCGCTTCCTCCCTCCTCGCCACTTCCCCTCACTTGGATCTGGACGCGAGTAGAGATTCACGAGCAGTTTACGGCCCCTCTGCACCACCCCTGTTTCGAAACGAAAGTCCACCCCACTACCTCCCTAAAAACCTTTGCCCCCAGGTAGTGGGTGGGGGTGGGGTTGTAGCCGTCAGATGTCAGCATATCTCGAGTATCTCTCTTTTTTTGCGGCGTACTGCTTGTTCTGAGGCAGGCTCAGTCTTGTAGGGCGCAGTCCTTAAATTGATCCGAGACCAGATACATACCGAGTTGGTATTGGAATCAATTCCTGACTCCTAGAGTCTGTGCACAGATGAATGACTAGTAGAACAGCTCAACAGCTGACTGATAAGTCCAAAGACCAAGACTCACAGATGATGTGCGCACGAAGACACCAATGACTTTCACAGCCAACCAAACACCTCAGATAACTCAGATCAACTTCCCAACAATCCCCAGCACTTTATTCCCAACACTCGTAGCAGCAAGACCAACCAAACAGCTTCCCTTCACACACCACCGCCTTACTTCCACCACTGTACGAGTGCTGCCTCTTCGACCGCCGGTGCCTCTTGATTCCTCCGGCGCCGCCTCAGCTTCCCCAGGCTCCAACCAACCGGATCTTCTAAGTCACAGACTAAGCTCCAGCCCACTAGCTTGGACCTGCAGGCTTCACTTGGTTCACAACCTGATTAGACGCATCCCTTGAACTTATCGCGTCTGAAAGAACTTCTGAGAGGTTTGTCAGAACCTGAGTTCTTACACCCTCCCTTTGGGAAGCAAGTCAGAAGTCTGCAACCTTCTCAGCTTGTCAAAATCATCTGCTTGACAGCTAAGCAGCTGTCCCCTGCGATGTCCTCCTTTCCAACGATCGCTCTAGCTTCTTGCAGCGTTGTCAGCTGCTTCCATCACCTGACCATCAACATCTTTCCCAAGCTGACTTCCATGCTGCTCTCCTCTCCAAGGTCATCTTGCTGCTACCACTCCATCAACCGTTCTGCACAGGCTCATCCCCCATCTTGCATGCCTCCTGCGCTCCTCCTTCGGTTCAAGTGTGCACCCTGGTGCACCTGCGTTTCTCCTCCTGTGACACCTGCGCTCCTCCTCCGCTTGCGCTGCGGATGCAGTGCGGTCGCACCCCGCCAACAGTGCACCTGTGCTGCTCCTCCGCTTGCGCTGCGGCTTCTCCCCACCATTGCGGGGCCTGCGCTGCTCCTCCAGCGCTTGCGCTTCAGCAGCACTCCTGCAGCACCTGCGCTGCTCCTCCACCTGCGCTGCGGCTGCTCCCCACCATTGCGGGGCCTGCGCTGCTCCTCCAGCGCTTGCGCTTCAGCAGCACTCCTGCAGCACCTGCGCTGTCCTCCTCTAGCGCATCCTGATGCTCGTGCACTCGGGTTCCTCAGCTTGTACCATCCGCATGCCACTAGAGACTCTCCTCATCCGCCTGCGCTGTCCGCATGCACCTGTGCTCCTCCTCACCTTCCATCATAAACTCTTCCCAGCTGCCTGCAGTGTCAGTTCAAGACTAAGTCCTGAACACATCTGCATCTTTCAAGTCAGACAGCTCCTCCTCCTCTTCAACCTGATCGTCATGATGGGATTGGTCATCATGTGACCTCTCTGAAGCTTGCGCATTGAGCAATGAAGACATCTCCACCCATTGATGATGCCAAGAATTTTGGATTCCAATCAAGCTCCAGAGATCAGGTTCAGAATTCTTGCAATGCATTGATTGATCTCTGATTGTTTTGAACACAATTTTCTCGTTTCTAATCTATGGGCCCTTTCTATCCTATCTACCCCGGGGATCATTGTTTTGCCAAGGCACAATCATTTTTGACGTCAGCGCTTTCATTTCAACCACATGACTTATCGATCTCGACTCATCCGTCATTTCTTTCTCAATTTTCATTTTTGGCCATTCAATTTCATCGTTCACTACCGTCATGGGTTCCATAGATCAGGATGAGCGAGTTTCTAAGATACTAACCTAGAACAGATGTCTTGGTTGCAGCTAGCCACAGGCTTGAGGAAGACGTGTCTGTCTTTATCCTCCTTCCGATTCATCCGATTCCTTCACGTTCTCCATGAGAGTCTCCTCGGTGACATCACCCGAGACACCCTCCCTGAATCGGATAGAAGACGGAAGACTGACAATTCTCGAGCGACACGGACTCGGTGGCAAGGGTCCGAGACACCCTCCCTGAATCGGAGAAAAGACGGAAGATAAAGCCTGGAAGCCACCGCAGCAGGATCGGTTGAATCTCCCTGTCGGAGACTGGAGCTCGGATCACCGTCAATCACACACGGGGCATACAACTTTGGCGACTGACGGCATGGGAACAGAGTAGCACTGTCCCTGACAGAAGCGCAGAGAGCATGACAGGCGAGCATCCTCAGAGCAGCATATCCGGTAAGGGGTCTCCGAAGAGAAATTCACCAAGGAGCCTCCACCGATTCAAAGGCAGAACTTTCGTCAGCAAATCACCAGGCTGATAAGAAGTATGAATCTTTTCTGGATAGAGCTCGTCCTTTTCTACCAAATCAACAGCATACTTCGTTCGAATATCAATGTGTTTGAGTCGACTATAACTTCGCTTGTCCCACAAAAGCCTCAGACATGGTTCATTGTCGATCAGCAAGAGAGTAGGACGAGTCTGCGTAAATCCCATCTGACCCAAGAGATTTCTATAAAGCTTGACTAGTTTCGCGCATGTGGTGGCAGCATAAATTTCAGCTTCTGAAGAACTCAGGGCAACAACCTTCTGCATTTTTGAACCGAAGACGACTACCCCACCATTCAGAACGATTCCATATCCGCTTTGACTCCGTCTCGTAATAATCTCGGTACCCCAACCAGCATCACTGAATGCAATCATCTCATTGACAAAACACTCCTGGTGGTAAGATACTCCGTGACAATGGTATACGATCTGAACCTCCCGAGTAGTGTAAAGGTACTGTAGAAGATGAATTAAGGCATCCATATCGCACTGCCTAGGAGCCCGAGCAAAGCGACTAAGGACGCTCGTCGCGAATGCGATATCAACCCGCGTACAATTTGCCACGTAGAGAATGGACCCCAGAAGACTCAGATAAGTGCGGACTTCCTTCTTGTTCAACAACTTACCCTCCAAGTGATAAGTCTTGAGATAGTGACCAGGTAATACCGTTTTGACACCTCTGGCAACGATTTCAAAGCGTTCAACAATCTTTTCAATGAAATGCTGTTGTGACAAAGTTATCCGACCCTGATCGTCATTCTGTTCTATTTTAATGCCCAAGAAGGTACCTGTTGCCTCACTCCCCGAAAAGTCGAATACTGTGTTGAGCTTCTCAAGAAACTCAATCTTAATTGCTTCAGTTTGAGAGACAATGAGTAAGTCATCCACGAAGACAGTCAGAAGCAAGACGTCCCCCGCACAGTTGGAGTATCGGTAGATGATCTCATCATGTCCTATCCCACTTGCTCCCACCGTCTTCAACACCTGCGTGAACTTAAGATACCATCTCCTTGGTGCAATGCGAAGTCCATAGAGCGACTTCAAGACTTTGAGGAGGCACTCAGGAGGAAGACTCATGATATCTGGAGGAATCAAATACACAGGAACCTCCAAGTCACCATACAAGAAAGCAGCAGAGATATCCCTGAATGTGATTCTCCAACGGTTGCCTGCCGCGATGCTCAGCAAGAGCCGGATATTGTCCAACGATGTAGTCGGTGCAAACAATTCTTCAGATGAAGGAAGTAAGTTGCCCATGATAACTAGCCGCCCCTTTCGTTTCAAGATCTTGCCCTTCAAGTCTCGTTTTGAAGCATACACCCACAAGGCGCGAGCAAGTACAGAATGATTTGACTCCCTGTTTTTCTGATCACGCGTAACAACTTCCCAGACCCCACGACTTTCGATCTTCGCAATTTCCTCCTTTTCAGCCTGCTCCCAAAGATGCCGATCCGGACGACGTAACATCTCTGACCTTGTCTTGGGATCTGGTAACTTGTCAAAACTACTTTCGTTCTCCACATCTCCTGCATCGCAAGCCGCTGTCATCGCGTAATCTGCCTGATTCTCAGGCATTGCAGCTGGATTGTCACGGTCGGAAGACATCAGAGATAACAGGTCAGACGCCAGCTCCACCGCGTCCCATACGGGAGAGACCAACGCTAGATTCGCCACAAGAAGACGCGTATCCCTGAAAGTAGGGTCCACATTAGCACTGACCTGTGGGGCAGATGACACAGGATCGACATGCTGTAAACGAGTTTTGTACATCTCATCCCTCCATACTGGAACAAAACGCTGGGATGCTGGCTGAAGGCTTGTCCTGTCTTCCCCCCTGTCCCAAACATACAAGATCTCTTCAGATTCAGTCGACCCCTGCACAATATGTGTAACTTGCAGATACTGCGAAAATTGCTTGTGCTGGGAAAGTACAACCACTTCAGGCGAACCCCCAACTGTAGCTTCGACAACATCCATGATCTCATCCGCTGCACGATCAAGACAGGGTTTAAAAACTTTGGTATGGTCGGTCATATCACCAAAGACGTTCGGTGGAAAGCTGCACGAGTAATAATCTGCTAACATGCAGACCTCTGATATTGTCTCCCCACTTCTAAGCACCACCATTGCCTTCTGTTCGGTTTGTTCCAAAAACTTGATGTCAGGATCAGTGACAGACCGTAACACCCAGTAATTGTCGAGAGTTGGGAAAACAATCCGCGCGAGAAACTTTCCCTCCTTGAAAACCATCTGCAAAATTTTGCCTTGCTCTACTTGACCATTTACAAGAACTTCGACATCTCGATTGACATATTTGCTTTCCAAGACCCCTCGCTCCGC